TTTTTTTTTTTTTAAAGTATGTATACGTATTAAAATGCAATTTTTTATGATGAAAGAAAGAATGAATGAAACATATAAAAAGAAGAAAAAGAAGGGTGGAATCGTTTATCGCAGAAAACTATTTGCGGAACAGAAGGAATAACATTGATAATGGACAACAAGTTAATTTCCATTAAGAAAAAAAAAAGTCTTTTTTTTAGTTATTTTTCTAAATTTGTCTGTAAGATAACAAATCTGTGTAAAGCTTTGATGTTTTGTGGCTAAGAAATAGCGTAACCGATTTGTTATTTTAGAAAATTATCATCTGTTTCCCGTAAACTTTTCTATCTGATTTAAAAGTATTTCTAGTGCAAAAACTTTCTACAAATATTGCCCTGATTAACGGTCTTTTTTTTTTTCCTGCATATTATATTTTCAATTTCAGTTCAGAAGTAAAATATATTGGTTCAAAATAAGAATTATAATTGTCTAAAAAGAGAGGTGTGATAGTGATAGAAAAAAAAAACGATTTTTAGTTAGATTAGTTGAATTCTCGATTAGTTGGTTGGTTGTTGGATATTTATAGGTGTCCACAAGCAGATACTTATTGTAATTAACGTCGGTTAACGGTGAAAACAGTGACTGTTGCTGAAATAACTCGACTAGTTAAATCTCTTTCAACTAATGGGAGCAACAGTTTATTCATCTTTCTTTCATTCATCTTTAAGCTTTTTCATATTTAATAAATTTCTTATATTTAACTTACTTTGTTACTTTTTTTTTTTTGCTAATAAATTTCCTCTGATTATTATGAGTAAACTAGTTTTTCTGTTGTTGCCTACAATTACATACTCATTTTCTAAATTTAGAATTAATAAGTACTTTTCTGTCATGTGCTCAGCAGATAACGGAGATAAAACGGTGAAATTTACTGCTTCAAGTACTTCAGGTCTTTATTTATAATCATTTTATAAGCTTATAGGAGGTTTTGGACATTTAATTATCAGCCTCATTATCTTCTCATTATTTATTTAATTATACTTTTTTTTGCCACATTTTCTTTTTATCTTTCAAATTAGGATCTTTACTGGGATCTGCAATAATTTTTCTTCTTTTTTCGCAATATTTGGCGAAAAAAAATCAGGGTTAGTTTTGGCTGTTTCTTGGTTTTGGTTATTGCTGGTACTCTTACTAGTGATTGTTTGTTGTTCAGTTTTCAATATTTTAACTGCAGTTAGGCATTAGGAGATTTTGGCTTATCTTTGTGATGTTTCGGGATGTAAAAATGAATAGAAAAAAGTCAATTTTTTTTGTGTCACAAATGGTTGAAGAGCATTAGTCGAGGAAATTATTCAGCGTAAAAGATTTTTTTTTGGATAGTTTTTTGGTCAGCTAAGGAAAAAAAGGGACAGTGTAGATGTTTAAGGCTGCAACAACAGTATTTATTTGTTTCACTGCGTTTGATGAACCACGGGATTAGTCGCGGGAGACGACTGATGGCAACATCATTTTTCAAAGAACTTGTGCTTTAGAAGGAGGAAAGGCTGCGAAGATGTCGAGCAGTTGTTTCATATTGAAAACGGAGAATACTATGGGTTGGGAAACTTCAGTTTCTAAAATCAGATAAATGTTTTTAATATAATGGGCAATTCTCTTCTGGGTGATTGTTAATCGCTTAACGTCTATCTATTCCTGCAAGTGGTAACGTCATGATGTTACGTCAGCACTTAACATGATTTTGGGAAATTAACGATAAAAAATTTTTGATAATATTTGGTTATAGAGTAATCGAAACAATTTTCAAGTCATTTTTATCGTGTCGACGAGTTTCGACAGCTTTGCTGCTGTCCCCTCCTTCTTCAGCAAGTTTGTAGTGGCTTTACCTCATGAAGTCTATCCGTAGGTCTTGGGTGGTAATCGCGCGTTACTTAAAAAGCTTTGTTTATTTGGATAATATAAAAAACCTAGGCAATGAACAGATCTTTTTTTCGGAATCATATGGGTGAAGCTGCGTTGTCGACAGCTAAAACCAAAAAATATGTTAAATAATTCGTGCAATCAGCATTTTATAGTCAATGGTGATAGCGGCACACCTTGCCAGTTGGTTTCGATACACTCAATAAAGTGATCAGCTGCTTACAAGATGAC